TGATCGTCTAGGCACGATCAAAGAGCTTTTAGTGAGATCTGAATCTGACTAAAGTCAGGATCAGTCTCTAAGGTTATTATTAGCTGTTCCTAAGTTTGGATCAGCCTAATAGCCAAAAAAAATTTTAAAAAGTTAATTTATCAAGCAGTCATAGTGACTGCTTGATATAAACTGACAAGAAAAAACAGGTTTTTTGTTGTTTTTTTTTTACAAAGTGTAAAAATTTTTTAATAAAGTGTAAAACAAAATTAGGAAAATAACAATTATATATAAATATATTTTTATCAGTCATTTATGAACAGAAACTGAAAACTAGCTCAGTCATGAAGGAGTGTTAAGACCTTTATTTCTGCACTGCAGTTGCATAGTGCTGCCGCCAGTTTCAAAATGTTATCGTGCAGAGCTAGCAGGACAGTAAAACATCAGGTATAAACTGAAACCCTGCCTACCCATATCCCCTGCTTGACAGCATTAGGCACACCTACAATTGGCATATCATCTACTATCCTTCAGAGTCCTTCAAGTATGGCGCTAAAATCAATATGAAGCTAAAATCAGGAACATGGGGACATGACCACAAACTTTAAGGGGAAAAGCTGATTTTACTTAAGTAAAAGTAGATGCTGTATGGAACAGTCTTACAGCAAAGGTAAGGAGTCAGTCAACAGTAAGTGAATTTAAACATTTTGGGACAAACATAGATCTATACTCAGTAAAAAGGTAACTTCCCCACCCTAAAAAAAAAAATCCTGCACCCAAATAGTGGAAAAAAAGGTAAGACTCAATGGGCCACTTGGTCTATTCCTGCTGTCACTCTTCTATGTATCCTTCAAAAGGTTGCCCACTGAGTAAATAGAAATCCTCTCTTTCCTCAGTTCATGGAGCTGCTTATGTGGTGGGAGCATAGTTGCCGGTAGCACCCCCTTAGCGGCTGTTTGTTTAGCCAGTAACTTTGTTGGGGCCTACAGTGAAGAACTACAGCCAAAAAGGTTGGAAACCTGATTCCTATGCTCAGGCTCACACTCCATGGCCAAACAGGGCCTTGTCAAGGGATATTTTGTGTCAAAACGGGTTGTTGGGGACCCCCATCCTGTGGTTGCAGACGGCCACACACTCGGCCAAAATTAAACCGCGGTCATGGGTTACAAGGTGCGTGGTCCAGATAGAATACCTGTCACTACTGCCACACTGACCAACTCTCCTTTTCCCAACCACAACCAGTCCCCAGCTTTGCCATTATTTTTTTGGCTGTCTTCAGCCATACAACAAATTTTGCATGCAGATAATCTTTACCAAATTTTTCGTTTTATGCTTTTACTGAACAATTAGATGGTGTACAGAGTAAACGGCACTTGGCTTTTGCATAACCATCTTGGAGACATGGTAAAATTTAAAGCATCAACATTTAAATCTAACATGTTAATTTGTCACTGTTACCAAGGAGCAGCATCCATTGTAAGTGATTCAATCAGCATTTGAAATAGCTTAAAAATCTTTTGACTTTAATATCACTTTACATGCATATTTTTAAATGCAAGCAACGCACCTAAATTTGATTTGGTGTCAGCCTCTTGCAGTCTACTGTACAGGAGAGCTCAAAGAGAGGGAGGGAGAAGCAACTTAAACAGGTCTAGTATAGTACAAATAGTATGCTGATAAGAGTTGATATCAGAGTAATAATGAGATGAGCTCATCAGTGTGCTGTTTCCACTTTCACTGTGCAGTCACAGAATGGTGATGGGAAAGGAACCTGTAAGCCCTCGTTCACACCTGAACGTTTTGTAGCGCGTTCTACGCTCGACGAACGCTCTACAAAAAGCTAAAAAATATAAATCCCATTGTATTCAATGGTCTCGTTCCCACCTTGGCGTACTTCCGCTTGTCCCTAACGCACTACAAAACGGTCCACGCCTGAAAAGGTACATGTACTACTTTGGGCCGTTTTGTTGTGCGTTTCCATTGGGATACAGCCAAGTAGCCTTCGGAAATGCGAATGGCGGTAAAAAAAACGTGCGACGGTCGTGCATATGCAATACGCCTAGGTGTGAACGAGACCTTAGTGAAAGTAAAACTGTAGCAGAGAAAGACCAGGACTGGATGGACAAAAATTATAATACTTTGGCATGTAAAACACCTCTCATATATGTACAGTATTTCATCTATGTATTTAACTGTTTGCCTGGAGTTCAGGTTTATGAATAGTACCTTTCCCTTAATCTGCTAAGGAGAAACTCAGACATTTGAATTAGCTTTTCATTCCATATAGAAAAAAAAACACAATATTTTTCTTGGCATGGAACAAAATTTTAAAATTGCTGCTGCAGGGCAAATCTTTACTAAGAAACTAAATCTAGAAAATATATTGTATTTTTTTATATAAGGAAATCAGCTTACAGCTAAAGTAAAACTTTTGTAATTCTCATAACATACTTGTAATTCAGTTCAAGTATGTTGCTATATTTATGGGATATAGTGCTAATCTGTATTAAATTAATGCACAAGTAGATTAATGTGTATAGTTTATCTTTACATGCAACTAATCCCACAGGGAAGTAAAGAGTATAGGTTAAATAGCTTTAAATTGCTGTCTCTGTGTAAGAGATCCTGAAGGCTTATAAACCCCAAGATGTACAGTTTGAACATTATTTTATTCCTACCACCCCCTTGAGAGCTTTATATGAGCACAGCAGTTCAGCATAGGAAGAACATTAATCAGAACAACACTGCATCTACCTACATATTTCAGCTAAATGGAAATGACCGGAAAGGTTTCAACACTTGAGGGGAAATTGGGAAATCTTTATATGAGCTTTCGCAGTAGCGAGATTTGTTCTCTAAAGTATTGACCTAGACCATATCATGTTATTTTATTTCATTAGAGGTGACCAGGAGTTGCAGGCTACAAAAGTGACATATATTTTACTTCAATTCAGTATTGCAAGGTATTTGCGGTTTGCAGGCAAGACTTCATTTAAATAATACTTTCTAACCTGCTGGAGCTAGTGAATAAAACAGAAAGCTTTCAGCAAATTTGCTTTGTGGTAACCTTAGACAGGTTGTGAGGTGAAATGTCCCTAATGGGACACAGGCAAAAATAAAAATCTGACAACCTTTCTGCAAATAATCCAGAACTAAAATAGACACATTCAGGGCTATTCACTGAAGATTGAAGAGTTTGGAGAAGGCAGGAGAAGTGATCAATCTAGGACAACATAGCTGAACTGGAAAGTGAGCTGAATTGGAGAATGTTTCCAAATCAGTTATTTTGGCCTAGATTGTTGACTTCTCCTGCCTTCTCCAAACTCTTCACCCTTTAGTGAATAACCCTGATAGTCTCAACAAAAATATATCCTTTAATGGACAAACTATTTAGCATCATTAACAGTATTTCAACATGACATCCACAAAGACATATAGATAGGGGGCACACCTGGCTTAGTTTCACACTTGGGTCTGAGAAAGAAAACATAACAAGACCAGGTCTTGAAGCTTTTGAACTCAAAAGCTTTCAGTATTTATACAAAGAAGTTTTTAAAAGGGATAGAAAAGTGAAGACTTTGGGGTCTATTTACAAAGCTGCTGAAGGATCTGGCCGTAGCTTCGGAATGATATGTATACTCAGAATGATGCCCTGACTAACCAAGGGCCAAGCTGGAACTACTGGTGATAATAGAAGGCATTTAGAAGGCACTGATGATAATATGAGACACATTATAATAGAGGTGTGCTATTATAATGAAAGGCACCCACTGTTATCAGGCAGGGGAATGGAGGAAAGTATTTTAGACACTACGCTCATCTCACCTATTGACAAGGTCTTCGTTCTATTTACCTTTGAAATTTAGATACACTATTTAGATACACTTTAGATATTATTTGGAAATAGGAATCCATTTTCGGAAATTGGAATCCATTTTTGTGGAATGGATTAATAGGAATGAAAGACTTGGTATAAACACCTTTTCACTAAAAAATAAAAGGCTTGACTAACACACAACATCCTCCCCCCAGTCCCTGTTGCACTTATTTGTAATGATAACCAACTAATGGTTTCAGATTCTTACTGGTCAGCGTGGCCATGCTGACCAATCACAGCTCCCCATTGCAAGCATGATGTTGCTATACAGCCTCTGGGGCTGTGTAGTGGACTTTCAAGTACACAGACCATTATACTGGCTGATGTGGCGGCAGGTGAGGGTCATCATTGGTGCAATGGGGACCAGGGGGTGAGGAGGATGTTGTGAGTTCACTTTTTCATTTTTGTAAAAGGTGAACTATCCCTTTCAGTAGACTGTTGTATTGAAATGGACTGCCCAACACGTTTTCTGTAACTATGGTAAAAGATGGTATCAAACACTTAATGTGGAAGTAAAGTCATTTTTTAGACCACTGACAGTTAGGGTTTTTATGACAGAAGGTCCAACATGCATGGGAGTTACATTATCCCAGCCCAGTCAATGAATAGGCCAAAGACTCTGAACCTGGAAGAAGACCTGGCGAAGATGGAAATAGCGGTGTCTAAGAGGGGGGCCAACATGGCAGCTCTGGAGGGAGTTGCTTAAAAAATGCATAAAAGCACATTATGCAACCCAGCTCATGTTTATTTTGTGGTGACAGGGAGTATTTACATATTCTGAAGAAACAGTAAAAACATTTAAAACAAGCCCTCATTCACCTGTGTAGTTATAAGCTGTGTAAAGAAATTTAATAACAGAGGCACAGAAATCCTAGCTCTTTTCCTAGTACTTTCTATTACAGCCTTATTCACACTGCCGTGCATATACGCGCGTACGTGCGTATTGTATCATATGCAACACATGCAAATAAATGGCTCCATACGCATAGTCGCGTATGGAGCCCTATATTTCCGTAGCGTGTATTATCAAGGATAATATTATCTCATATTAGAGACAAGATCTTATGCAAATGTATTAGTTTAGTAAGAGGGTTTAATAGGTGGCTATATGTTGTGTGCAACTGATGTGTCCTTCAATTTCCAGATCTGCAGCCTTATGAGGGGAGGGATTGCAGAGAGAGGAGGTGTGCGAGTGGGACACCGCATCATTGAGATCAATGGGCAAAGTGTTGTGGCCACAGCTCACGAGAAGATTGTCCAGGCACTCTCCAACTCAGTAGGAGAGGTAAGTGATTGGAAAAATTCCTGTGTGATTATGTTAGCAGCTATAGTAGGTACACTCAAGGATTTGGACACTAAACATGATAATCACACTATAAACTGCACAGTCATATTATGTGGAAAGCTAAAGCTCAACCCATCAGATATTAACTTTTATTATTTATACTATTTCTACAATGAACTTCAACAGATAAACTCTGATTGCTCACTTTAGATAACAGCACAACATTCCATTAATATTATGCTATGAAACCAAATGTCCTATTAAAGTGTTTAAAGTCCAAAATCTATTCTGTTGTGAATAGTGTGGAAAAGGGTTAGAATCTATGTCAAGTTATTATTTCTGTCTCTGTCCCTAGAGAGAGATTTATCGTTACTACCTGTTATGAGAGGAAGTAATTGGAAATCTCATTAATGGGGACACAGACAAAAACATTGTTAATAGAACAGGGAAGGGTTGGAACCTCTGACAATGTTTTTAGCCATATCTTTGCTTTGCAGTCCAGGAGACAACCGCTTTCCCATTGTTTACCCTAGTGTCGTAGGAACAGTAAGCGAAAACTTTCTGAAGTAGTCACAGGCAGAACTGAAATCCTGACCGGAATTTTAAGCCCCTCCCACTCTATCTACAGCCACAAAATTTTTTGCTGGAGTTAAGTCTAACTTAACTTAAAGTGACATTAAACCCTCAGATTTTTTAACATAAACCAATACTGTAATGTGTGCCTTACTGTAATCCATGGTAGTTTCCCTTCTCTTTGCTGCTCTTCCTTTTAAATCCTCATGTCTTCTCATGCTGGGGGAGAACTTCCCTTTGCAGCTGAGTGCCTCTTCCTGTAGTGCTGGCTCAGGTTGCAAACCTACACACAGACACCATGTATCCATTTCAGAGACAAGGCAGTCTGCTGCAAAACAGAAGTTCTCCCCAAGCGTGAGAACAGATACAGATTTAAAAGGAAGAGCAGCAGAGAAGGGAAACAACCATGGATTACAGTAAGGCACACATTACAGTACTGTTTTATGTTAAACAATCTGAGGGTTTATTGTCACTTTAAGACGTGATAAGTAAGATATCTTCTTCGGCTGTTTTGCTGCTATGTTACTTTAAAGTTTCATGCAGTGCATGCATGTTTTTATTGGACCCAGGCAATTCTTTGGGAAGTATTTGGCAACAAACGAGACACTGCAAGACTCAGATGTGCAGCTTTAGAAGGTCTGAATGCTAGTTGCCCAAACTGTTGTGCTGACCCTGTGAAGTTGATTTACTAAAGGCAAGTAGGCTGTTCACTTTCCAAGAGAATTTGCAATTTGCAGGTGAAGGGTCCCTTAGCTTGGTAAATGGGGGGAAATTTCAAATGGCAAAGACTTGCAAAGTGCAAATTTCCTTGCAATATTAACAGCCTATTTGCCTTTAGTAAATCAACTTTGTGCCAAGTCAGAGAAAATCGAAAGTCGAGACTAAAAAACTTTCAAAAAAGAGAGTCAGCAGGACAACCAGGTGACTAGTGTTTCATGAAGGTGGTAGCAATGGTAGCCATATGTCTGATAGGAGAGGTGTACATTAAATCAAGTGTATAGATGGTTGCTGCACTTATATTTTAAAAGGATTTTTATAACCTAGAAGCACTATTCAATTAATGTTATAATAAGTACAATATTCAGGTAACGTAAATGGAGATTGTATAGAAAATTTCTTGTTTTTTGTCTTTTTTCCTAAACACATCCTCCTTGAACAGAAACATAATACATCCTATTTGCACAGTAGGGATCCTGCCGCTGGACTTTTGTGTCCATAACACAGCGAGGCATTTGCATCTGAGCAGCAGATATAGGAACTAACTGTCCTGTGCAGTGAATTGAAATATTCTGTCCTATGAATATTTCGTTTCATGTGTGAATCACTTTGGGTAGATATGAAAACATTAAATGTAGAAGTCAGTTCTCTCAGCCCCAATAATATGTGTTCAGTCGCATTGTGAGGCCCAGGGCTTTGAACATTTTATTTTAGATGTTTCATTGATGAGATAAATTGATATTCAAAAGCAGAGTAGAAGAAAGGATTAAAACGTGTCCAAAATCCATTTATTTCCTCGCTGCCTTTATGTGCATCTCTGGTTTGTATGTGGAGATGAGATAAGAGAAGCCAGGCAAAGTAACCATCAATGTGTAGTCCTGTGTATTCTCTGAAATCAATGGGTGGCATGACACGGCTGTCCTTATGATTTACAGACAGCATGAATATAGGGATGACTCTTAGTAAAACAACTCACCACAATGTAACTATGCCCCTATAGAACTAGATGTGCTAGTGCTGTCTCCGATAAATCAGTGTCTATCAAAATGCCGTATTTTTTATTACAATCTCAATACAAATAGTAAACTAAATGTGAGATTGTAGTCCATCATGGGAGCAAGCTTGGAGTGGTGGCTACTTTACAAAACACACAGGGACCATGGGGAACAAAACTAGCCACCCTCCATATGGAAGGAGAGTGTCAGAACCAATTCAAAGATGATAAATAAGCTACATCTTTGTTAATCGTTACAGTACATGAATGCATTTAACTCCTGAGTTTAGTGTCACTTCACGTTAGCAATCAGTCCATCCAGTGAAAAATACCACCTATGAAAAATGTAAACAGTAAAGACACCTCAAAAGATTTATAGCTAAAAATGGCCAACCTGAAGAATAGCCATTGCCTCCTAAATAAACTCATGTGCGTATATAATTCCTATGCTCCTCAGCTCCATCCATTGGATGCAGTATTTTTCTAATATTACATTCGACCTGGAAAGAAAATGTGCTAAATTGTTTATAAATACATCTCTTTTTGATCAAAAAAGTTCAAAGCAATATATCCTCATTTAGGCTTCCAGTCATTTTGTGTTTACACCCACGTGAAGCAACAATTCACTACCTGATGATAGATAGAACTTTTGGGATTTTTGTTATAGAGGATCAAAAGCACTAAGGATTTAATTGTAATGTTCCCAAACCAATATCTACCAAAACCAGACCAATATTTCCAACATCTAAGGACTCATCTCCAACACCAAGGAATTCCACAGCACATGATTCACAGACACGCAAACAGTTCCATAGTGTAATACCGTGATGACCTATGGGCATTGCCACACAGAATGCATCATCAGGTTGGTCCTGTCTAATGATGGGATTGAACCATCCAGGCTGCTAAATGCTGGAAGCAAGTGTGTCACAGGCAGCGCCAGCCCTGGGTTTTATATCTGAAGCAATACACATAGTGCTAAGTGCACATTCTGAATGTGGTTTGGTGATTTCATCTGTGGCCTTAGATAAATTGTATTACACTATGAAACATGTCTCTGCGTGTTTTGAGTAAGATATTATACAATATAAGGGCAAGCATGTTTTGTATATGTATTTATATAAGATCATGGTGTTTCTATTGATGGAGAATAAAGCTTTGTTGCTGAGTCTCTGCCTTTGTCACCTATAGGCACAGGTCTACTATGTCTTATGGTAACCCCGACCCTCCTGGAAGTTAATTGGGGTGATACCTAGGCAGAACATGGCTATCACTCTATTAATGGATGAATGAATAGGAGAAATGTACAGTTTAGTAACCATTAATGGGACAAATTAACAAATATATATATTTAAATAAAAATCATCCATGTATTTTTATACTTCACAATGTTTCTGTATTGTAAACGCTTTCCTATCTCACCAACAAAGACATGTGATTTCATATCTGGATTATCTGCAGGTACAAAGAAAGGGAGACTGCACCTGATGCTGGGTTATGGCTGTGGAGCTGAATCCTGCTAACCTCAATTTCATTGCTCTTTCTTCTTTGTGTCACAGATTCACATGAAGACCATGCCAGCAGCGATGTTCAGACTTCTCACTGGGCAGGAAACCCCTCTTTACATATAACAATGAGCAGCCATAAAGAAAACGCTTTTCAATCCTAGATCAATACATTCACACATCAGAAGAAATACTGGACAGACATTTTGTATTTTGAACAAAAGAACAACAAATATCATCAGACTTTTGCTTTTTCGCCTTTTTATTTTTCCTTATTCTTTTTTTTTTTCTTTTTTGCTTCTTTCTTTTGCCAAAGGAGATACCAGTTCTGAGCCTGTTCATCAGCAACAAGGACAATTTGTAAATGACAGCAGGATAGTCTGGACTAATTCCCCTTCATGAATAGTGACAAGGATATTTATTTGTTATTGTACATGTAGTGTTTTAGTGTAAGTGCTGTATGTTACATTGGTGAGTGTGGAAAAGCAGACATGTTGGAAGCTGGAAATACTGCACACTGGATTCTGTAGGTCAGTGTAGGTCAGGCTATGGTCATGTGGAAACTTAATGCTATGTAGGTCCCATTAAACACAATCCCTACAATCTCAATATTAATCTAACATATTTCAATATCTCCACTATCATTTTAACTGACTGTTCTTAAGACATTCATATATGTTATGTGTATTTGATGTAATAGACCACATTGGCCTTTATTTAAAAGTCAAGGAGCAATGTGCACACTGGCAGTAGCCCAATATTGACCAATTAGAAATAATATTTCATTGTTTTATATGAGATGAATGCTGGTTGCTATTGTTAACTGCATATCATGGTCCTTTGTACTAAGACATTGAGTTTCACATTTCTGACATATTCTGTATATTTGAATATTTTCTATTGTCCTTGGTAAACACAACCATTTGTACTGACAGCAACCTTGTGTTTAAAAGGCAGGTGCTCATAAAGAAGACATGCTTAATTTGAATGTATTTACAATATGTATGAGTAACAATTCACTTTGAGATTCCAGTGAATGTACTGTGATAAACCTGCAACAGATGACGGTGAATTTGCTGTGCTAACACTGTGCAGCATCATTTCTCATCCATAAAAAATATATTGATTTGATTATAGATTTATTTAAGCCAGACTGCAGAAATTAAATTTGCCCTTCAGTGGAACTGCGGCTTTGCTAGTTTTCAACAACACATTAACAGGACTTTGCATTTAAATCATGTACATTGGTAGTTTTTGCAATATCCCCATCATCCCCTTATGTATTAGTGTGTCAGTCATTTGTTATGCATTACATATTTAGCCTAATAAGCTCTCAAATCAATGCTTTAAACTCAGTGAAGCCTAAACACTGTTTGCACTGTTTGTTGTGTATATGTTCCTTGACTTTTTACCATGTGATGCCCTTTTAATCCCATGAATCAAATGTACTGTCTACTGGGTCAATGAACACGTAATTCAGGTCTGGCTCAATTGGTTTTATGGAATCATTAAACATCATGCTAGAGAGTGAAAACATACAGTGTATGCATGTTCCCTCTATAAAAATAGAAAATCTGTGTAATGCCAAGTAACAAACTAACTAGTGTAAGAAACCACGTAAATCTCATTATTGGAACATCCTTTGAGATATACTCATTGAGACCGTCCTTTATTTTACAGTTAAGACTGTAAGGCCTGAAAGAGCAGATGGTTGACAGAGCACAGTTCAAATGATCAACACAACTCAAATCTGCAAATTATCTCCAAAATGAATGTCATATGAACCAAAGAAATGTGTGGTGCTTGAGTAGACAGACATTTAAATAGAGGCATATCATTTTTACATATCTACCATTCATTGAATTGGCACTGGCACTTTCTGAAGTTTAGCCATTGCCACCTACTTAGGAATAGCTAGGTGTACTACAGAATAGGAAGACATATGGAATTTTATTGTAGAGAACAAAAACACTTTTTTGATCACATTCTTTCTGACAATACTCATGAATATGAATAATTCTGCAGAAGTAGGATAAGTAGCTACAGTAACTGACAACAACAGTGTCTTATTGCTTCAGAAATAAAACACAAGTGCATCTCCATGCAGATTATAAACCTTTTCTTCCAGATAGAAAAGAAAACAAATTGGATCACATGCTATAGGTGTGATTGTTTGTCGTGTGTGTACATGTTCCACTCTGTCGGCATATGGATCTTGTTTATATTGTATATTTTCAAGATCTAACAGATGAGATTTTGCTTCCAGAACAATGTTTTAGAAGTGAGCAATTCTTTGAGAAGATTTGTGTTATTTGTTTTTTTATTACTTCCTGCACAGGTCCTGTTGACGAATGTAGGAGAGAAAAAAAAAGCTTGCTTTCTTGTTTTGTTCAGTCAATTCATGACCATTAACAGTATTAGACGGTGTACATCGTGACTCTGTATTTCATTAACAAAATAAATGTCGATCGGTGTTCTGAATTTTGGCTTAGACCTTGAATAGTTCACACTGTGACATAAAAGCCTTATTATACAGTAACACAAACCTACTGTATTTCCAGGAAGTTGCATGCAGCCGCCAATGTAGGAGACAAGTCATTTATCACTGTTAATAAATTTAATATAAATAAAGATCTGTTGTTTTTTTTTTTTATTTAAGTCACTGATCATTGCACTGCATCAGAATCACAAAACAGGCAATTACAAGGAGACTGATGTTAACATTCATCTGAAAATAACATTATTTATTGTTCATTAAAGGACACAGATTTAGAAGTAATTCAGAGACAGCTGGGTTATACTGCTGCTTACAGAAGCAGCTGGACACTAGCAACAGCCATTAGCCAGTCAGGTATAACCACTTTCACTCCCATCATGCTTCAATATTTTACCAATGTCCTAGAAGGATGAATGTGTTTTCTTTTTTTGAGAAAGTTTAACCATTTGATATCAAGATATATTTTTTCTTCAATCAAGATTTAATTGCTACACTACTAAACTCTATTCTCTATGCAGTTATCCAGATTGGCTAATCCAGAGGGCATACCCATACCCCACTGAACTAAAGATTAGGGGGCCTTCCTGTAATGTGACCCCTGGACAGTGGGCTCTGCTTGTGGCACTCCCCGGGCATCTAATGTACTGGTTTGTTAACCACAGAGCACTTTACAGGTCCAGGACCATGGCACAGATTCTGGTGTGACCTTGTCCCTAAAGACTCAGTAGTGAGTATGTCCATGGACAAAGTGAAGAGAACCCGGAATGTGAGCTTTGGCACTGGGCCCTGCATTTGGCGCTCTCTAATCCCTTGGTACTATGTTCTCACAGTGCTCTTCATGGGTATGACCATGGTAACTATCTGAGGTCTCTTGTCCTATATATTTTTGAGCACAGCAAAATATCCTGTTTACTCTCACTGTTCAATGACACCATTGTCGTCCCCCCCCCCCACTGTTTTGATGGTTTCCACGCAAAGGGTTAATGCACTAGAGAAAAAAGTGCTGAGTCATGCCCATGCTCTGCACTAGCTCTTTCCATGTTGAGCAACTTGAGATAGCTCTTCCCTCTATGCTCCAGTTGCAAGTCACATGCAGTTATTGCCACATTTTGTCCTTGTTGCGGCCTGCAGTGGCCGCAACCTCTGGCCACTTTGTACATCTCCTGCTTTTAGCAGTTAGGTTGTGGGTACCCAAGTTTTTTTCTTGTGTTTATTTAAGTTGCCTCATTTGCAGCGCAACATGTCAGTTCCCAAATGCAAGGGAACAGTCCCACAGGCCTCTCCAGTTCTTGACCTACTAAAAGCTCAGGGACATCTTGCAGTGCTCCTCCTCAGCCACTTTACACCAATAGCTTGGATCAGTGTCCCCTTCTTAAATTCACACTTTTTTTAGTTAGTTTGGCTTCTTTGTGAGTAGGCTTTGATAAAAAAGTGAGCTGTTCCGCTCGGTGATCCAGCTATTCCTCTCTCAATAAAACACTGACTATACCTATTTAGGATGTGCCAGGATCGGGTTGCCAAGCATCTAGGGACTTTTTCCAAATCTTTGGCTTTTCTTGTTTGCCAGTTTCTAATTCCTCCTGCAGATGTCATTATCACCCAGTTGTCTCTAAATTACTTCTGATTCTGTGGGGTTGATTTACTAACCTTATAAACACACCACGAACGTGTATACACCTCTGCAGTGTGTTCCCTCCCAGCATGATCTATGGGTGGAATCTAAACACCTTTGTAATGTGTACACACCCAGCAGGTGTGTTGTGCAAAGCCCTGAATGAATTCTAAGGTGATGTTGGGTAAATTAGCTCTATGTTGTGTTGCTTGCGTTGATGAATGCAAGGAATGTAAATGCATGAGCTAACCATTTTTGTCTAAACTGTGAAGCAGCATTATATATGTATCATGTGCATGATTTTTCCATATATGGCATTAGTGGAAATATGCTTTTAGAGACTTTTTGGTTGATAAATACGTTTTGCTGTGTGAAAATCACAAACACCTGGTGTGTGTGTGTGTTTAGGTTAGTAAATCACCCCCTGTGTCTCTTAGTAATCTCCAAGAAGCAGATTTTATGGTAAGTATGAAAATATTATTTCTGTTTATTTGGATCATATTTTGAATAATTTCATATTGATTTCTTTTTTTTTTTGCATCCTATAAAGTGTGAGGTTTATTTATCAGTCAGTTATATATCATTTATGCTTGGATTTTCCGCAAAAAGAACTTCTATTTGGAAAGTATACCAGAATCCAGGTTATGGGGGCGTTAGGCTGCAATGCTACTCCAAAATGATTTTTGTGCCCCCCTACCACCACATATACTACTTATATTGCATTTCTATCATTTCTTCCATTCTAAGGGTGCCCATATGTTAATGATACAATGCTCCCTCAGTGTCAGTGTTTGATATTAGATTTTATTTAGGAACTGTTTAATTAACCAAACACCAAAATAAAAGGTCTGCTCAATTAATACTGGTCCCTTCCCCATGTATAACTGTTACATTACAGCTGTGGATTAACAAATAAATAAATGATAAAAAAACGTTTGGAGAAAAGATAGAAAATATATCTACCTCACCCATCGGCTTTCACCAATGACACCTACGTGAGTGAGACGTCACAATCTTTTTGGTAATATCCTGGGAATGCAGAATATCTCAAATCCCCCAAAAGGGTGCTTCTGCACTGTGCTAGAGCATCTTCTGAACTTTAGAATACTTATACTTGGCTGTTGCAAGTTTTTGCGAACAGGCCCATGATGTCACCTTCTCCTGTGCTAAACCTACATGAAAAGTAAGTATCTCTTCTAAATTTTCTCCACCTGCTGTAATGGGGCAATTATACATAGGGGGGAGGGTATCCTAGTGCTGGGTTCCACAGCTGCAGCACTAGGATTCATATCCTGGCCAAGACACTACCTGCATAGGGTTGGCATGTTCTCCTTGGATACTCCGGTTTCCTCCCCCCCCCCTACTAAAACTTCCTGGTAAGTTAATTGACTGTAGTATGTGTGTATGTATGCAAGATAGGAACCTTAGATTGTAAGCTCCTTGAGGGCAGGGACTGATGTGAATGCAGAATATGTAAAGCGCTGCGTCAATTGTCAGTGCTATATAAATGCCTGTAATAAATAAATACCATTACAAAATCACATTCCCTCCAGTGCGATTTGTTCTAATATTAAGTGGGACTGGTACTAAAGAGCGGGCTACTCTGTGTACCACATTTTTGTTCCATGTAAATGTACAAAAGGTAAATGCTGTCGGCCTCACTGCTCCCCACTATGTCCATTTTGTCTGCCTAGGGGGAGACATAATTTAATTTCCGTGAACAATGTTTTTTTGTAGACCAGGTGACCTAAAGATGTGATGAATGAAAGCAAAGAGAATAAATAGCTTGTTTTTTATTAAAACATTTTGTGAAAACACTTTGAGGTACATAAAGTAATGCAACACTGAGGTTGTAAAACAGCTTCCTTCTTCTGAAGATTTTTATTTTTTTTAATTAGGCTACGTTTCATTGGCAGAACAAATAAGATACAATTTGATAATGGTATCTGCAAGCTTGCAGCATCACAAAATGGTTCTCTTTGTTTACAAGGTGATCATTGTTCAGAGTATGGTATACAATAAATGAAGCTACATGGCAGCAATATCCAAATCTCTATTTTCAAATAAAAATAGAATAAACCCCAGACATCTATTCCCCAAAAAAAAGGCGTTTTTTGTGTGAAAATAAAGCTTGCATTGTTGTTGCAGAACTTATTACATTCAGGGACCTCTTCAAGTTTGGAGTCTCTCGTCCCATGTATGATCAAGTCCAGAAAGGAGATGCCATGTTGTAGTTGGTTCGGATTATAGAGCTGGATTAAAAAGTAACAGTTTTGCATGCAATCTGTTAGCCATTAATCAAAGGATGGTTTCTCTGCAAACACCAATTAGACTATGTGGTCTGCCCTGATCCATATCGCGGGCTAGATGAATTCTGTGCAGAAATGCTACTGGAGAGCTAAGAGCTCCACAGCTCCGAAGATGAAGGTCTTCTTGTAGTCGTTTTCTTGACATACTGATATTCTGTTGAGAGCTGGTGATCACCTGTCAGAATTAATGTTTAGAAGTTAGAGTCAATTCAGTTATATGACATCGGGTCTGAAAGAAAAGTGTTTGTTGCCCAGTAGCCGAGCTAAAAGACTTGAAACTGACCTCCAAACAAACATCTGAAAATGCCCATGTGAAATACAGCTAAATAAACTGTTTTGATTAGATAGCCTTGTGTTTCAGATGCCCCTACCAAACAAAATATCCTTGACCTTCACTGTAACACTAGCATAGATTGCCTTTAATAACTTAACCTTTCGCTTTTGAGCAAACAGGCTGTTCATTTTGTAAGGGTACTTTCCCTTAGTTTAATTAATGAAGTGAAGCTCTATAGACTTCTATCATCCAATCATGTGCAAGAAAAAACACTGTTTTTTGTATTTTCCTTGATCGTGATTGGGTATTCTTTGCAAAGTCAATTTTTACCACATTAAGTAAGCTAAGAGAAAATTCCCTTGCAAAGTGATCAGCCTATTTGCCTTTAGTAAATCAAATCCCAGGTCTCTGATCTCTTCTTCTATCAGCACATGTACACTTCAATAGAGCCCAATTAGCAACTAGTGCTAATGTCTTCTTTTTCCACTATGGGGTCTATTCACTATGCTGCCGAGGGCAGCCGAGTGAATGACCGATCAGAAGTATGACCCTTATGAGTGCTGCTGTGCAGGGGATTACAAGAGGCTAATATCAAGACAAATATAGGTATTTTTACTTGTTTTATTTACACATTTATTGATCAATGTTTTTATATCTGCATGGAGTTCAACTTTAATGTATGGCAGTGTGTTGAACCAAGTAGAGCTTTAACTCTTAAAACTCTAAAAATATAATATATATTGGTTATACCTTCTGAGTTATTACTGTACGATTAACATGAAGAAAAACGTTCACATTTTTACTAGCTTAATCCATATATTCATTGCTGGAAGCCATAGACAGATGTGCAGATCTGTCTATGTGCAATGCATTGGATGTGCAATGCATTGGGACTGCGCTTGCCCTTTTTCAAGCACCGCCCCAATGCAGGACAAGCTAATTTGCCTTGTCACAGATGTTTACAATTCATACCATTGCAGTGGTGCATGTAGTACTTTTTTCAGCGCAGTGGGATACAGCGTGGTACAACCGCCTTGCACTTTGCTGCGCTCATAGATCCTAATGAAATGTCACTTGTGACATTGTAATAAAAAAAAAGGAAACAGTGTGATGTGGCTGGATAAGCACAACAGCTGCTGTGTGCATGGACCCTTAGTGGAGGGGTTAGTCCAGTCACTAGCATTATGAAGAAAAGTCAATATTTGGATATTAGAGTAGTCTGGGTTTCTGGTGTCCCAGAGAATTAAAGACATATTGGCAGGTGCCTGGTCTTCATCACAATTGCTGCTTAAGAAGCTTAAAGGGAGATTGTAGTGTATTTTCGGTGTGTGTTTTTATTTTGAATTATTATTGCAGTGTTTATTGTAAATTTATTGTTGTAATTTTTTTTATTTTACATGCTTGCACATTTTTGTTATTGCTTTGAAAATAATTATTTGCAGATTAGTTAGAAGAGTGACCGAAATCTCAATTTCCAACGCCTCCTCCCATGTTTTAATTAAGAACCCATATTGATTTATATCACATTGATTCCATTGCAGGTATACCTAAACACAACATCTGAAAGACTATACATTATTTAGGATTTTTTTATGTGTATGGGGGGATTGTATTGGGCTCCGTTCACACCTGTATCTTTATGTGCGTATAGGGATTCCTGCATCAGGAGCTTGCAGTTTCCTGCAGCAGGAATGCCTAATCAGGCGTTTAATAGCGGCAGCTGTTACTTATTCAAATTAATGATCAGGTGACAGCAGCTGCATGTAAACGCCTGCACACAGCATGTAATGGTATGTGATATGATTACATTCGGTCAGGAATCAATCACTCTCCCTGGACGCATTGATTGTGCATCAAGGGAGAGTGTTTTCTAACCGCATGTAATCATATCACATATCATTACATGTGGTGTGCAGGCATTTACATGGAGCTACTGTCACCTGATCATTAACTCGAATGGGTGACAGCTGCCATGTGTAAAAGCCAGATTAGTGCTTCCTGCTTCAGGAAAACGCAAGTTCCTGATGCAGGAATCCCTAATCGCACCTAAACCTACAAATATGAATGGGGCCTTATTGTGAGTATATTAGTGTCCACAGTACCATACCGGATATATTTAAATCTTATTTTCAAGTATGAAATTTGGCGAGCGGCCCTCATGGTAGAAAAACATTTGTGGAGTGGCCCCTGAGTGAATTGAGTTTGAGACCCCTGTTTTAAGCCATGTTTCCCCCCAACTTCCTTTCCAAGGGTTTAGTTGAGTATTAATAATATGGCAGCTCTGGACAAACATGCATTTTAGGTGCCATTTCAAATAGCATAGTGCACAAGTTGTATGATAATTCCAAGTTGTATTTTGGGAAGGTCTCCCAATTAGAGTCCAATTAAATGAATTTGCTGATTCTTTAGTGAATCCCATGCCTGGAATGCTAATGTGGAGGGTTTAGACTGCCAAGATATGTCCACACTTAAAAAAAAAAATTTAAATTGTCATCTTACTGACAAACAATTTTACTCTGCTGCTTGTTTATTTATTAATCAAAATGCAGTCATAAAGGGCTGTCACTTCATTAGGATTTGTTTCTAGTTAACCAAAAATCACTTGCACCTAAAAATAAATGTACATTATGCAAATGTAATTAAAAGTGTTCTAGTGATGAAAAAATAGGTAGAGAAGAAGTCAGATGTGGGGATGGAGGGAAATAAAATGAGCTGAGGAATTTTCAGAGAAGGTGTTTGAATTTAAAAGTGAGTCATACAAATGTGATATTTTATTCTTGGTTGGAGGCCAACCAGGACCCACCAGCCTCTTATATCTCTTGGACACTTTGGTGGAAAGTTTTTATGCTCCTGAAGTCCCAGCTTTAGGCTTGGACTTGGAGTTACATGAACACGTGCCAAAGCGTGTCCTTTGGTGCACATTCATGAAACGTGCAACACACTTGCAGTGCCATTACTTGTTAATAGGACCACTAAAGGCGGCTGGAAAGCCATACATTTTCCACCACCAGTGGAAGAATGTCAGATGCGCACGAATGCACAAGAAAAAGGCATGGAACGATCTCAGCTGAAAATGCTGCATGAATAAATTTGCCGCATTTGTCGTGTGTGTGGCAGCCCATTGATTGAGTGGGCTAACACGCGGCATCAGTGCAAAAACATACACCAACACGCATTCGTCATCACACGTGTTCACGCATTACAAAGTGTGAATGTGGCTTAAGAGTGCACATGGTCTTAGGCGGTACAGGCATAAAGGTTGCATTCCCCTATAAAGGCAGTGCAATATATGCAGGTGTCAGAGGGAAGCAAAATCTACCTACATAATCACAAGCTTTTAGGTGCACTAAAAGAAAAAAAATGGATCACATTTAAGATGCACTTACATGCCAGGAATGTTTAATGAGTGTATTTATAAACAATATGCAGAGTCATTCGCCCTGTGAAACTGCATGCATGTTCGGTTTGTGTGAATGGAGGCAAAAACTAATGTTATTAGCATGTTTTCTTTCCGGATCGCATGTAATTTTGGGTAAATACGGTATTATGGCCACTGGGTGGAGCTGTAAGAAGTATTTTTTTATATGCTCCTCACTGTGACGGACCCCGGTACTCAGGATGAGTATGTCTGCCACTGTATTCTTCCTTGCTCAGGAGATACTGCAACCCGCTGATCTATAGCTCCCAGTTTCCCCAGTCACTGGTCGAGACTCAAGTGTAGGGTGAAACAAACTCTGATTTATTGAGAAACTGTGCAACTTTTTATACAGCAAGTGATCAGATCAGAATATTATCACATCCACCCTGCCCTCCCCAGACATTCGGGCTGCACAGCCCAGCAGGGGTCCACCTGCTAAAGAGCTCCAGACAGCCATAGCACGAGCCTGGCCAGAATGTCCTGAGCTCCTTCAGAGTACAAAGGGAGATAACGAGGGATGGTGCTGACAGTCTTTTCATAAACAGGTTACACAGTATAACACACCCAACACCAATACACATTGAACCCATAAACTGATGACCATGTTGTCACACTCACCACCACATAGTGGCCATAATGCCATATTTACCTGAAATTACCTTCAATCTGGAAAGAAAATATGCTAATAACATTCACTGTTGCCTCCGTTCACACAGAACAAATGTTCATGCAATTTTGCAGGGCGAATGGCTCTGCAAATTGTTCATAAATACACCCCTAAGTGTTTGCAAACTATATGAGTTTGATGGCAGTTATTATAATTGAATTCCTCACTTTCCCACCAGTGAAATCATTTTCACCATGATAGCAAGTGAGGGGGAAATCTCTTTATTGGAGCCTTGGATAGCAGTAAAAATCTGGCAGGGGTTCTGCTCATTCCCCACACCTCCCTGCTTGTGATGGAGAAGATGAGGTAGAGGTATGCTCCTAACATAGTCCTAACAGAGTAGTGAGACCTGGGAACAATGCAAATGATAACAGTTAGCAGGGGAAGATAGCACAGGAAGTTATCAGCACACAACATTTCTTACAGGATCAACATGTATTATTTTCATAGCAAATAAGGGAAGTTCATTGTTAGGGTTTACATGCCCTTAAAAAGCCTTGGTTCTCAACTGGTGGGTCGCGATCCCATTTTCAGTGGGTCACTGCGTGCCTTCTTCTGCCTGCTCCTTTTGCAGCACTGCCAGGCAGGGGCGTATCTGCCGCGAGGCAAACAAGGCGTTTGCCTGGAGCGGCAGATTCCCTGAGAGCGGCATTGCTGTGGCTCTCTCCCCTTGATAAATTTTATTTATCTGGGGAAGTGAACCGGAGGCTATAGTAGCGCCGGGGACGAGGATGGCCGGCGGGGACGAGGACGGCGTGCTGCGGTGGTGTCCAGAAGGCAGCGGACGGCGGCGCTTTGAATGCCAGGTGAGTGATT